TTTTCAAAAAAGCCATGGATTGATTTAAAATTTTGCAGGTATATTTTTGATAGTAATAGGAATCTATAATATCAAATTCAACAAGCTATTCATTGTTTAAGTGTATAGCCTATACATCCTTAAATCAACAGGAGAACAAGAGCAATTCCACGTCGATGTCAATTTTTCTGTACTTCGCGTCGGTTGCAAAAGTTTTTTAACGGGGCAACTTAAATCGGAATCAACCAGTTTCTGTCAGATACAACTGGCTCTTGGCTCACTTTCACCTGCATAGATCCCCTTATCCCTTAACTAACTGGCGAAGGTCGCCTCGTCAGTGAATGATCCTTGTATTTGCGAACTCCGTTCGTTAGACTTGAAGCAACGAAAAACTAACGAGAATTTCTATAGGTCGTAACGTTTACATTTACATGTACGTTTGACACATCGTTCGTCAATGAATTATTTGTAGCTTCTGCAAAATAGTTCGCAGAGTGCGTCGATCGATGCATCTTTAATCTGTTCTCTCAATTTTTTACCATCGACAGTATTTACATTTTTCTATACGCATTTTATCGTCGCATACGTGATAATCGGAGTAAGTACCTACGTGAAATAAAATGAGGAACGGAATACGAAAGTAGATAAAATCTAAAATTTTAACAAAAACCTCGCACCGGAGATACCGTAATTCTTTAGATAATTGGATTAAATCGTGAAGCAAGGGTGGAAAGAGCAAACGACAATGGAATTTCCCACACGTTTCCCGGTCGAGTTTAGATTTCGCGATCCCTACTTCGATTTACGAGTGGCACGGTTGCCTTTCGGTGAGAATCTCGTGTCGCAGCTGATCACGGTTCAGTTGTGGTCCGTTCCTCGTGAAGGTAATACACCTGGCAAACTGTCGCGACATAGCCGTGTGGCATAGATGTCACAGAGCTGTGAATTCATCATCTCCCAACCACCGTCCGGTCGGATACCCGGTGTTCCTTCGACGCGCCACACGCCGATGAATCGATCACGATGAACAAGGTATCGCTGATTCTTAATTGCAATTTTATATTGAGGTTTTCGTTAGACCTACATTCGCGTTCATATCGATCGAAGATCCTACGTACCAGATCTCGCGGACCATCTACCGTGCGAGCCTATCGACGTATCGTTATCAGACCTCCTAAATTTCGTATCATCTTTTAGTTGGGAATGGATTAGATGAAGAGAATTTTATCGGACCTTATCGACAAAACATCGGCATGTAAGCTTTTTATTACTTCGCGGTGCTCATAGCGAAGTAAGTACAGCGTTCTATAAGTTCTATACTTGTTCTTGTACAGACGCACAATAAAGAGTCTTACGTAAGAAACGCGCTGACGACGCGTAGTTCTTAAGAAACATGAAAAGTATTGAGAAGTAATTATTTTTAGCACTCTTTATGAAGTCTAAGGAAATTGTTTCCTGTTTCGCGATTTAGAGGTGAGCAAGTTCTGAGGATCGAGCTTCAAGGGTAGACGAAGTTGTCCTTCCTTTCTTCGGGTTCACGTATACCTCCGAGCGTGGACATACAGAATTTCCTCGCGACCTCTTTAAAATCCGTATCCCTGAAATTATGAATCGTAATTGGGTCTCCGGTGGCAATTACAAAGCAAGAACGAAGGCCTCGCTTTTGGACATAGTGAAAGCGTCGCCGCGTCGTTTCAAGAACAAATATTCCTCGCCGTATACCGTGAATACGCTATGGGCTTACATAAAGGCCATACGCGTGAAAGTTAAACAATGTTTCTTTTTTTTTTTTATGAAAACCCATAATGGAGTTAGGAATTAGATGAAGCAATGGTTAGAAATCGAGCCGGGGCGCGAGGGATTACGACAGATCGGAATCGCAATTTTATTACCATAACTCGATAGTCGCAAGCGTGATCGCGATTACGATTGCAACGAGCGAACAGGTGGATCGGTTACGTTACGGTTACGGCAACTCCATTCGATACACACGGTCTACAGTTTCGTCGTTAGCCGTGGCTACGATCGTTTTAAAATACCATTCGATCGGTTTACGTAGAAGTAAAGAAGTTTGTTTGAAAGGCTCGCATGCTTCGCCGCGGTAATTATGCGAGCGCGCGCTGCAGGTATGCGGCTCCGATACAATCGTGTTTATCGCGATAATACCCGGGCTACCGTGCGGAATTCATACGCGATGACGATCACCGAGCGATTACCGCAAACGTTTATTGGCCGATCTTCGGATCGTTTCGGTTCTACGATAATTTAGGCGAAGAGGGAAACGTTACGATCGCTGCAATGGAAAATGTGTTTCGCATGCTGCAATTAGACTGTCGAAAGCGTCCTTGCGAGCTCGGTGACAGACATCTCGCCTACTCTACTCCTGCGTCAAGGTTCTACAAAACTGCGTGATTCGCGATAAAACGACGACAATTTTCTTCGCTAGTTTTTTTATCAGAATAACTAAAGGGGACACGAACAATTTTATTGCAGCAAGGAAGACAGAACGCGGCTTTCGTCGGAGACGATGGGCACGCGACCACCGAATTCGGCAGTGTCAAGGTGATTACAAACGATTCTCTGATACGACATGTCTATTAATTACTCGTACAGAGGGAACTGATGGATAACGTTTGTAGTTTCAAGAAAAACCCCTCGGCTTCGATTACGGAATCCAGAATGACGGGAAATTGCCATTATCCTTGTCGGTTCCGGAAGAATTGGTATGTTACACGAAAATTGTAGACACTCGATGGAAATTACCGTGTTGCCGCATCGTTTGTTCACAGTCGGTGACGGAAAACGAAGCTGAGAGAGCAACATGGGGCAACGGATTGGAATTCTTGATGTCCTGCATCGCGATGTCCATCGGTCTCGGCAACGTTTGGCGATTCCCGTTCACGGCTTACGAGAACGGCGGCGGAGTTTTTCTGATACCTTACATCATCGTCTTGTTCCTCGTTGGGAAACCGTTCTATTATCTGGAAATGATCATGGGACAGTTCTGCAGCCGATCGTCCGTGAAGATGTGGGCGGCAGGTGCGAGTCTGCGAGATTCCATTGTGTTCGCTCCGGTCGACCCGTGATATCGTACACCAGATTAGACGAGGCGACGCGCGTGCTTCGAACAGGAAGTTCGAGATCGGCGACCGGTTTCGCAACTGAAACCCATGCGTGCAACGTCCCTGCGTCGCCGGTGTACTTATGTGCGTGTACTTATCGAGTACAGCGGATTTACGCAGGGTCCGATCGTCCGCTTTTCATTAAATCATTATTATCTCCGTTGGAGAACGCGAACCTCGTTCACGTGGTCACGATATGGTGTCTCGATCGGCGTTCGTAGTTCGTAGCCGTGGAAATACAGAAGGGATCGTTTCGCAGTTCCTGGTTTCCGGGGAGTCGGCTGGACGCAAATGTTCTCGACGATCGCCGTGGGAACTTACTATTGCTCCTTGATGTCCATAACGCTTTTCTATCTGATCGGAAGCTTCCAGTCTCAGCTACCTTGGTCCACGTGCGCGAAAGAATGGGGCGACTCCTGCGTGGATTCGAAGGGATCCTACAACATCGTCGATACGAAGCCGATCCCGATGGAACGAAACCGCACGATGATAAGCTCCGCCGAATTATATTTCAGGTAAAGAACCGCCTCGACGCGGCGACGACTCGTACGAATCCGGTTCTAATTCGCTTTCCGCGTGCAGAAAAGTCGTGTTGAAGGAGAAGCGAAGCATCGACGACGGAATCGGGCTTCCTGATTGGAAGCTGACCCTCTGCCTTTTGCTCGCGTGGTGCTGCATATTCGCTGTACTGGCACGTGGCGTGAAGAGCTCAGGGAAAGCGGCCTATTTCCTCGCGATCTTTCCTTATATCATCATGATTAGCCTGCTCGTAAGAGCGGTTACGTTGGAAGGCGCGGTGAACGGGATCGTCTTCTTCGTAAAACCGGACTGGGGGAAGCTGTTCGACGCGAACGTCTGGTACGCCGCCGTCACCCAGTGTTTCTTCTCCCTCTCGGTCTGCTTCGGCGGCGTTGTCATGTACTCGTCGTACAACGATTTCAGGCACAACATATACAGGTTGCCCTTAATTAAATCCCGTACACGCGTTCGGTGGTACACTATCGTCGGTGGATCTGGCTCGCGGGTCAAGAGGCATCGGGAGCGTTGATCGTCCCATTTTTTTTTTCAGAGACGTTATAGTCGTAACGACTTTGGACACGTTCACCAGCTTAATGGCCGGTTTCACAATTTTCGGTATACTCGGCAATTTGGCTCACGAATTGGGCACCGAGGACATCAGTAACGTCGTCAAAGGTGGAACCGGTCTCGCGTTCGTCTCTTATCCAGATGCCATTGCCAAGTTCACCGTGCTGCCGCAGGTTCGACCCTCGTTAATTTTTACCCAACGAACAACAAAAACGAATTCATTCATTCATTTTACACAGCTGTTCTCGGTACTCTTCTTCCTGATGCTGTACGTGCTCGGAATCGGAAGCGCCATAGCCCTCGCCGGTTCCCTCATCACCATCATCAGTGATCAATTCCCAAATTGGAGATACCTGTACATAGTGCTTGGCACTTGCACAGTTGGATTCTGCGCCGGCACTATTTACTGTACACCGGTGAGTAAAACGCATCTCTCGATTCGCATGACACGAGGAAAGGAACGCAACGTTTGTTCGCAGGGTGGACAGTTCATGTTGGAGTTGGTCGACTACTACGCGGGATCTTTCATAGTGTTCATTCTAGCAACGTTAGAGATCACCGGTATCTTTTGGATATACGGATTGGAAAACTTTTTGGACGACGTCGAGTACATGTTGAAGAGGAGACCGTCGGTTTACTGGAGGCTCTGTTGGGGCGTCTGTACACCTCTTTTACTTGCTGTGATCTTATTTTATACTTTAGCCACTCTGAAACCCCTCACGTACAGCGGAATCTCATATCCCGATAGCGCGCACGGTTTGTACATCTCGAATTCGCGGCTTGTAATTATTTAAACGCATTTTTCACAGTTTTATTCAATCTTTAGCTGCTGGATGGGCCATTTGTGCCTTTGGCGTTGCCCAAATCCCCTTCTGGATGATTTATACTATGATCTCTAAGAGAGGTTCGAATCTGATCGAGGTACGACCCGACAATTCCCTCTTGTGAATGTCAAATAATATTTTTCCTATCTAAACGATAATCTCCGCAGACCGTCCGGTCAACTTTCGAACCATCCTCGAATTGGGGACCGAAGAATTCAAAGGAGCTGGCCTCCTGGAGGGAGTTCAAAGAGACGAGGAGAAAAATTCGAGAGAAGCGGCAGTGCTCGAAGATCAAACAGTTCGTCTACGTGCTACTCTGCTGGGAGGATAAATTAGCCTAATAAGAAAAGATTCGCCTCGTTCGTTGTAATTTACCTGATTCTCAGGTAAATCATTAAGGTCGTCCGTCGTGATCCGCTTGCCGCCCAAAGGAATTCACGCGTACGCTCGCATTCCACGAATAATAAAGATCATCGCACTGATCCGTAGATAAACCAAAAGAAGGAGATCATCGACGCGCGCGTTCGGTAAAAATTAATCTTGACGAGTCTTTGGTGCGACGATAAAATAACGATAGTACCGCAAGAAGATTTAAAGAAATCTTCGTATAGCAACGAAAGCGTTGCTGTACGAATCTCAGTATTATTTAAGTGAAATGATTCTCACGCTTTTTCTTCACTGCCATAGGAATTACTCGAGCGAATCAAATTTTATTTATCGACGTTCGAACGCTCGCACGGATCAAATGGATTTTAGATTTTCGTATCGCTTCAGTATTTTTACTTTTGTAACAGCGTTAGGTACAACACGCAAAGTAGATAGTAATCATTCGTCCCGCAAAAAGCTCTGATAATCGAACAATCCTTCTTCCTCTTCCTCTTCCTCTTCCTCTACTCCTTCGAACTCGAACGTCTCCTCCTCCATGTCCTTTTTTCAACGATAATGTACGAATATTTTTGTAATAATTGTTGCACCGATTTTGACGAATGTACGATTTTTATAGAAATATAAGCATCGCACTTACCCACAAGGGTAGCTTCTCCCTTTCTAGCATCAGCTCCAACTCGAATTCTTTTCTCCTCTGTTCCCTTTCCTCGCAAATCTGACAAATGAAAGACATTATTTCTATATACCGCAATCGTATAAACGTACAGCGCTTAACTTTGTAATTTAGCAGCCAGTGGCCAAGATATTCGATGGGGTCGAACGGTTTCTTCGCGACGATCTCGCGGAGAGCCTGCGTCAAAGGCTTGCTAATTAGATTCTTCAAGAAGAGTCCGTCGGACGAAAGATATTCGTTGGAGGACGACGGTAAGGACGCAAACGAATCGATTTCGAATCGATCCTCCAATTCCAAGTTCCACAATCTCCGCAATTCCTCCGTCTCCTCGATGGTAAAGCCCATAGCGCACAATAGCCTAAACGAACGAGCCGGATAAAAGATGTAACCCGAAGTGCATAGATGAGTCAACGGTGAACTCGCTTGCAAAATTCGTCCGTAAAACCGATCTTCAAGAAAGTGTTGATGAAACTCTGGCTCAGCAATCGTTCGCGTAAGAATTTCTCAATTTCCACTCGCGGGCCCAAAGGTTCTTCCTTTTCTGTTTCCTTCGCCTGTTCCTTCCCTTCTTCCACCGGTCCTCCGACTTTCGCAGATTCCTCTCTCTCGGCATCGTCTTCTGCTATAACGAAAGTCCTCTCCAAGTCCTCTTTCGTGAGTTCCAATTTCTTTAACACCTCTTTCGCCTCATCGCTGATCTCTTCAAACTTGCGTTCCCTCAGTTTTTCAAGATCTGATTCGCTCAAACCGTGCTCTTTCAGAATCGTTTCTATCTGTTATTATCAGAAGAAACGATATTAATTCCATAAAAAATCCGTCCGTTCGCTCTTTAATAAGGCCGTAATACTTCTTCTCGATTCTTTTCTTCGTTTGATTCCATAATTAATTTCTTCTTAAGGTTAATCTCTGCTCATCCTTTCGATCCTCTCGCACCAACTTCACACGATAAATCATTTAAAAATAACCATTTACATACTATAAAAAATATTGATAAACATTGAGAATAAGTATTACCGCGATTGATTGCGATTTATGAGCGAAACCACGTCGTATCACAGGCGTTATAAATCACTGATTACGTTGTATCGACTAAAGTTCGTTGATTAAATTTGGTATCAATGATCGTCACATTTTTTTTACTCATGGAATTCTATCGATTAAAGATGTATTGGCTATACAGTCAATCCCAAAGGTTTATGTACCTTAGAAAAACGCATTTCCTATAATTAAAAAGAAATCAGACATCGGAAGAATAATGCTAATAATAA